ACCCGCTGTGCACTGTGCATGTTAGACCCTCAGGGGAGCGTGTTATTCTCTGCTGGGACCCCAAGTGCCTGGGCTGGATATAGGAACAGTCAATCTTTTCTAGAAATTAATCAGATTCATATATTAGTAGATACATACATCTATCATTTTATACCTACATTTACACATCTTGTAAACACCCATTTAAAGGGCTTCCTGTGGTCCATTCCCATGACTTTTGCCTTTGACAGTGTTCCCTATGACTCTCCTTATCATGTGAGTTTTTATTCTCCATCACTCTTACATTGTGCCCAAGACAGTAGTAATGAGTAATATTTGAAGGTTGCTTGAGACTTACCGGACGGAGTGCTTTTGTGTGCACATCTCTTCCTAAGTTTCAGAACAACCCCCTACACCAGGCAGGGCTACCTCCCCTCCAGAATCAAGGAGTTGGAGCGTGAGATGGTGCGTGACTTTGCCCAAGCACAGCGGGAGAGGGGAGGCCATGAGACAGACTCCCGGGTCGGTCTCTGAGGCAAGAACTTGAACAACCCAGGAAACGTGAGAGGGTCTTCATCTTGCTGCTTGCCTGGTCTTGAGGCTCCTGTGCTTTGACCGGACGAGGGTCGAGCACCCTTGTCTGGCCACAGCCTCTCAGTGAAACCCAAGATGCCAAGTTTCATGGGCTCCGCTACCCACCTGCCCAGCACCGACCACTTCGAGGTGTGACAACATCCACTGTGTGTATCATGGATGAGATGCACGTTTAAGGGACGCTGTCCACACGTGTCATTTCATTACGTTGAACCAAGGCTTGTAGGGAGAGGATGCAAATAAAAGGAAACATTCACTTCACAGACATTGTTCTCATTTCGTTCTCCCAACAACACTCCGCCGAGGCGGCGGCTGCTCCGGCGGAATAATTGACTTGCCCAAGGTCGCCGTAGAAGTAGAATTTTAATGCAGGAAGTCTGACCTCCGAGGTCTCCTTCTGATTCCGTATACGCTGGGTTACAAACAGTTATAGAAGAACGCCAGTTGGCAGGAAGGTATCTTTAAAAGATTAAGTGAACAGGAATAAAGACGAAGAACGGTCACGGAGACATCGCATTAGCAGAGGCGCAGGTGCGTAGCTGGGGGACAGGCCTCGTGTCCCGCCGTGAGTTGGTTTCCCCAGCCTCTTTCATCTGCGATTTTAACGGTCTTCGGCCTGCACCACGGTCGGTCCCCAGTCCAGGCGGGGACCCCAAGGGCTGAGGCCACACGAAAGGCCTTCTTCTTCGAGAAGAAGGTGAAATCCCAGATAGGAAAGTTCTTGGAAAAGAGAGAAACGCAGGGCACTCGCCACTGACTGCGTTTGGCTGTGCTCAGAGTGACCTTGAGGGGAGCCCCTGCCCAGTGGATTCTGTCTCCTCACATCTTCTTGTGGGACAGCACGGGGGTGAGCCTCGAGGACGGTGCGCCCCAGGGAGGGCTCCGTGCCCCTGCTGCCAGCTCCCGGCCTGAGGTCTATGCCTCGCTGTCTCTCCCACGGCGGCTCAGCTGCCGCTCACGTGGATGCCTCCAAGCACAAGAGGCAGCGCACCAGCGCTCGCTCAGTTCAGTTACCACCGAGGAAGTGACCCGGTAAAGTAACACGCAGACATTCCAGAATCTGAGCGGGCCCCGCCGCCTCCTCGCAAGGCCACGGAGACGCAGCCCGGAAAGCTCACTCCCCTGTTCCTCCCTAGACGGGGCGTGCACAGCGTCTGTGCTGCCTTGTTCTTGCTCACTGAAGTGCGCAGCTTAGCATCTTAACACGAACACAAAGAACGTCCTGTGCACATCGCCATCCTTTTTTAATATATATTTTTATTGATTTCAGAGAGGAAAAGAGGGGAGAGAGATAAAAGCATCAATGATGAGAATCATTGACTGGCTGCCTCCCACACTGGGGATCGAGCCCGAAACCTAGGCACGTGCCCTGACCGGGAATTGAACCATGACCTCCTGGTTCAGAGGTCAATGCTTAGCCACTGAGCCATGCCGGCCGGGCCACACCACTGGTCTTCCTTCTGTGGTTGTTGCAGAGGGGGAGGTGTTTGGGAAAGAAAGCAGAGATGCATATTTCAAAGAGCATCAAGCAGTGTGGGATATTGAGTAGCCATTGAAATGGGTTTGTTCAGCCATTTATATTAATGAGCATTTAAATGCAACAGATAGCAGCTGGTTTGGCTCAGTGAATAGAGTGTCAGCCTACGGACCAAAGGGTCCCAGGTTCGATTCTGGTCAAGGGCACATGCCCAGGGTTGGGGGCTCGATCCACAGTAGGGGGCATGCAGGAGGCAGCCAATCAATGATTCTCTCTCATCATTGATGTTTCTGTCTCTCTCTCCCTCTCTGAAATCAATAAAAATATATTTTAAATGCAACAGATATCATTTCAGGTGACTTCACATGAATGAATAAAAGTCAATGCTACTGGGTAAAAAAATCATGGATAAATAGAAAAGAAAGTAACCAGCCAGTCACCAAGGGGATGCCCGCACAGAGGAGAACATTCCAGAAAGGGTTGTACCAGGGAGAAGAATCACAAAACAGAGCTACAGCCCCAGGCAGCAGCCAGCCTTCCTCTGCCCCCAGGCAGGAAGCTGGCCACGCACATTCTGGGCTGGATGCGTATCCGTAGGCGTAGGGCAGCACTGAATACTGGGTGTGGAATGGTTAGTTTATTTATTTATTTTTAATTATATTTGTATTGATTTCAGAGAGGAAGGGAGAGAGAAATAGAAACATCAACGAGGAGAGAGAATCATGGATCGGCTGCCTCCTGCATGCCCCCTACTGGGGATCCAGCCCCCAACCTGGGCCTGTGCCCTTGACTGGGAATGGAACCGGGACCTCCTGGTTCATAGGTCGACGCTCAACCCCTGCGCCACGCCGGCGGGGCTGGAATGGTTAGTTTCGATACCACTCGTCACGTAGCATCACATGACAGCGAAGCTTACTTCCCACCTTCCACGTGGAAAGGGCAGCGGCTGCCCAGGCTGGACGCAGGCCTTGCTGCTCACCTGCCCCGTGTCCTCAGCAGCCCCTTCCTCTCGCGGAGCCTCAGCTCCCTCGCACCTGGAATGTGGATCACACTGTCAGTTGTGTGAAGAGTTTTATGAGAATTAAATGAATTTATGTGTTTTAAAAATCACGGGTAGGCCATGCATTTGGGAGCAGTACCTACCATGCATGATCAGTAAACGTTCAATTAGATTTCTGTCACCTAAGCAACGTTGTGTTCGTTTCTGTTCTTCTTGGAGAACTTGAAAGCGATCATTTTCGGTCGTCCTCACGGAGGTGTTCCTTTGTGTAAGTGCGTCCTGAGACACAGAGTCCCCGCGTCTGTGCCAGGGGAACAAAGAAACTACCCGGATCTCATAAAAGACCAGAAAAAACAGTCTCCACGTCGATCGGCTGCGTTTGTCAAGACTGTGTCAGCTCCTCTTCATTCATAAACCTCCTTCTTCCCACTGGAAAGTGAATTAAGAAGTCATTTCAGTGTCATTTTGAAATCATCGTGGTGTAGACACAGGCCTTATTTATTAATACGCCGCCTCCTCGCGGGGAGAGCTGCCTTTGATCGATGGGTATTTGCAAGTTTCATTATCTTTCATCGTTCACTCTCAGAAGCTTCATTTTTCTTTCTTTGTAGCCTTTTGTTTAATTTGCCAAAGTTTAGTACTTTACTCTGATTTAAGCTTTTTTTCTTTCCTTGACATAAGATGTGAAATTTGAAAAAAAAAATGATAAAAATTCAGCTACTTCTGTCTCTATTTTTTTTTTTGCATTAACCATTTTTGCACATTAAAACTTGATTTGCATGTCTTAGTGCTTCCTTAGGATAAACTCAAAACTGTTTTCTAGAAATCGAGCACTAATCTGTGTGTCTATCAGACGAGTACAACAATCCATCTCTACCCTTGCCTCGAAATCGAATCCTCTTAAATCCTTTGTGTATCAGAAGAGGGGAAACCAGACCACACTGTCTTAGTTCATAGTTTTTAAATTACTTAGTTAACATTTTTGGTGCTTTTAAGGTGTTTATATTTTTTCTCATCCCAATTTTTGTTGTTCTTTGTTTATGACTGTTGAAAATTTAATGTTCTTTCTTAAAATTGAGAAATTTCTTTATAAAGACATTTTATTTGTTAAAATATTCTCCTGGTGAATTATTTGCCTTTTAATTTGCTTACAATATTTTTAAATGTAGAAGTAGCTGAATTTTTATGCTCAAATATATTTTTTCTTTGATTGTTTTAGTCTTTTTTTAAAAAAAAAATTTCCCATATTCAGGAACTAGTCAAATATGTACCGATAACATTTTTTAGTTTTTATGATTAGTTTTTTTATATTTAGCACTTCAATACATCAGCAAATTATTTTTATTTATGCCATGAGGAAAGAATATAACCCGCTCCCAGCCATTGTGGTTTGGTGGTTGAGCATCAACCTGTGAACCAGGAGTTCATGGTTTGATTCCCGGTCAGGGCACAGGCCCAGGTTTCGGGCTCCATCCTCAGTGCGGGGCGTGCAGGAGGCAGCTGATCAATGATTCTCTCTCGTCATTGATGTTTCTATCCTTCTCTCCCTCTCCCTTCCTCTCTGAAATCAACAAAAAAATATTTT